TCCATATTTACCAAAACTTAACAACAAAAATAAAACAATAACATCACGGAAAACGGCTAAACAACAAGAAAAGCAGTAGAATTCACAATGGATGACAATCCCAGATAACGATTTTAACAATTATTAATAAATAATAGTCTGACAAAATTAAAAAGCTGTACTGCCGAAACGCTTAAAGGAGTTAGGCAACGTTTTAAATTTGGTAGAGTTATAGTGACATGAGAATCGTGCCGAAACTATCCAACCCTGCTTCTTTAGGTTCTTTACGATGGACACTTTTTATTGTAATACTTATTAAATAATTTAAGTTAGTCATATACTCATAAATTTGTTTAATAGTTAGATTAAATGACAACAGTTAAGTATAGTAGCTGATATTTAAGTGAATATGTAGCAAATTAGCCGTCAGTCTTAAAAGTAACATCATTATTGATATTTTGTCACAAAGTATACCATACAAAGAACCTTATTTCACTTCTGTCTAATGCTATAATGAATGGAGTATAAATGCATGGCACTCGATAATCAGGAATCAGATCCCGATGACTTTTTAAAATTAGTTTTTAACTTGGAGAACAGTGTATATCATCAAAATCGACTTTTTAATTTTGAATTATTAAATTAAAGTTCATGAGAAAAACATGTAAGTTGCTCTTATTTAAATAGCTGGCGTTTTCCTTTTTTTATTTTTTAAAAAGCTTGGTAAATGATTCTTTCTTTCTGTATTTCTTTTTGGTAGTTCTTATCAGCAGAAGCGGCAAAGTATTCTGTTATCTGTAAATTACTATAAGGTACTCGATACGTACAGGCATCGATATTTTACGTATCTTTCTAACACTACTTTGACATGACAGCTAATGACGTCACAGGCTAGTAAACAGAGGGTATGTTCCGATATACACTGCGACCACTGAACAGTATGACGTCAATTTAGTATACTGGAAGCCCGTTCCTTTATAGCTAGTTATACTGGTGACTTTTTAAAACGGAACGCAGTCCAGTATATTGTTAATCCTATTTTTGGCGCCATTTTCAAATATGTTAATGCAAGGTGAATATAAATACGAGGGTCAAACTGAAAGTTTTTAGAACTGGCCACTTATAAACAATATAATAAAAAAATAATTCTAAAATTTGAAAATATAACTCTTTGCCAATATTACTGAGTATATATTTCATTCATTTGTCATTTGTTTTACGATTTGGCGGCAAATTGAAAATTGTCTGTGTCACGTCATCATGAATTTAACACGAGAAAATTTTCGTGCAATGATTTTTTATGACTTTCGATGTCATTTAAGTCAACAAGAAAGTTATGATAGACTACGATTGGCCTTTCACGATGAAGCCCCATCTCGTGCGACTGTTTACAACTGGTTTAATGAGTTTAAACGTGGTCGCACTAATCTCACTGATGATTTACGTGAGGGACGGCCTTCTACGGCGACGACTGAAGATAACATCTGTGTTGTGCGGCGTATGATAGAGACTGACAAAAGAGTGACCTATCAACAGATTCGGACAAGCTTAGGCATCGGTATGAGTCAAGTGCACAAAATCCTCCACGAACATTTAGCGGTCAGGAAGCTTTGCGCCCGGTGGATACCTCATAATTTGACTGACGCTCAAAAACTCCATCGTGTGGATTGGTGTCGTAAAATGATTGAAAGATTTAACGGAGGTGACTCAAATGCTGTGTTCGACATACTAACAGGTGACGAAAGCTGGATTTACTGTTATGATCCTAAAACCAAAAGACAATCTGCTCAGTGGGTGTTTCCTTTCGAGGAGTTGCCAACTAAAGTGAAGAGAGATCGAAGTGCGGGAAAAAAAATGGTGGCCTCGTTCTTTGGAAGGATAGGTCATTTTGCAACAATTGTGTTAGAGGATCAAAAAACAGTTTCTGCAGAATGGTACACTACCAATTGTTTGCCACTTGTCTTGGAAAAAGTTCGAGAGAAACGACCTCGCAGTAGGATCCTCCTTCACCACGACAACGCCTCGTCGCACACCGCCAAGCGAACGATCGACTATTTGGCGACATCAAACGTTGAATTACTGGGTCACCCGCCGTATAGCCCCGACCTCGCGCCTTGTGATTTTTATTTATTTCCAAAAATTAAAGAAAAACTTAAAGGAAAGCGGTTTATGAATGCTGAAGAAGCGGTGGCTGCGTATCGCGATGCCATTGAAGAGACCCCTAAGGACGAGTGGGCAAAGTGCTTTTCCCAGTGGTTCCATCGCATGCAGCGGTGTATTGACGTGAATGGACAATATTTTGAAAAGATATAATAAAACTAATAACTGGCTAATGTAATCAGTTTTTGATTTTCTAAGAACTTTCAGTTTGACCCTCGTATAAAGATTCCCTCTTTTCAAAAGAAAATATTATAAAATTGGAAAATTGTATAAAAAAATTATTTATCAATCAAATCCATCTTATAATAAACGTAAGTATTTTATTTTGGGTATGTTCCGATATACACTGCGACCACTGAACAGTAGGACGTCAATTTAGTATACTGGAAGCCCGTTCCTTTATAGCTAGTTATACTGGTGACTTTTTAAAACGGAACGCAGTCCAGTATACTTTTAATCCTATTTTTGGCGCCATTTTCAAATTTGTTAATGCAAGGTGAATATAAATATAAAGATTCCCTCTTTTCAAAAGAAAATATTATAAAATTGGAAAATTGTATAAAAAAATTATTTATCAATCAAATCCATCTTATAATAAACGTAAGTATTTTATTTTATCTGTTTCGACTGATCACGTGGTCAAAAGCACTGCGAGCACTGCACCTCGAAACCTCCAGTGCTCACAGTACAAATATGGCGGCAATTCATGACGTCATAAATTTCCCTACGACCACTAAGACCACTGCGCAGTGCTCGCAGTGTATATCGAAACATACCCTTTATCTGTTTCGACTGATCACGTGGTCAAAAGCACTGCGAGCACTGCACCTCGAAATCTTCAGTGCTCACAGTACAAATATGGCGGCAATTCATGACGTCATAAATTTCCCTACGGTACTGTAGCAGTATACTGGCAGTCCATAACGGAACGGATTTTTCAGCAGTAAGACCACTGCGCAGTGCTCGCAGTGAATATCGGAACATACCCAGAATCGTTATTGGTTGTGACGACCACCAATCATAAAACGTTTTCGTCGTTGAATATATGCCTAAAAATAATGCATTTTCTTTATGTTATTTTACTAAATCTAAACATGATTTTTCTGCGAATGAAAAGAAATAAGTTTTATTAGATTATTATCTATCAGGATGACCACAAAATGCAACTTATTTTCGATAGTGTTAAATACCCTATTTGTCGTGGATTCGAGGTGCTGCCAGTTTAACTATAATAGTAAATAATATCTTGGCCTTGAGTCATTCTTGTTGTTTTTAGCAAAGCACATGTATTGTTTTATATCGGCGTTATTCAAATTGCATGATATTGCATGCTTAATGATTATCGTTCTCTTTTTAGCACGCTCAGGTACAAACTGTATTTCCAAATTACACGATCTTTTATATTGTTCCATATTCTCTAGTTTAGCGGTTATAATTTTTAGGGCCCCGGTCAAACTATTATTTTCGACTTGAGGTACAGTTATCGAGGTGTTCTTGAAAGCAAGATCTTTTTTTATGTTATGATACTTTTCAGTTACAAATTTAGTTAGCTATACTTTCTTTCATTTTGGTAATTATATGCAAATTTTGCTTTTTTCACTGCATAGGGGCCATTCATTTATTACGTAAGACTATTTTCGCTAGTTTTTGGGATTTCTAATGGACAATTTCTAATTCTTTGGACATCCGATGTCATTGATGTAAGTTTGGCAACGTCGTGCGTGCAGTAGTTTAAATTGTGTTAAAGTAAATAACTTTTTATTTAAAAAATGACGGGATCTTTTTTTTCTGCTCTTTAAAATTAATCTCGGGATTTGAGGCATATCCACTTTATTCTTTCGCTGTATGAAATCAGTGTAAGTACATGAATAACTCTACCTAATTCCGACCACTGATAATAAGCCAGCAAATACAATTAAATGGACTTTGTTTCCTCATTCTTGAAGTCTTTCCAGGAGCTTAGCTACCGCTGTATCTGCCTTATCAATTATACGGGGCCCCCGATCCACGGGGGCCCTCGACGTGCGTAAGCAAAAATTAATAAAAACTTCCCAAATTTCTTTTTATTTCAGAAATTTCAAAAGATAAAAGAAGTAAAGCATGCGTTTCAAAATTGGCCACACCATACATGGTTTTGATGGACTCCGGGATTTCTTTCTTTGTTTAAGTCATTTACTTCAACGGGAGAATCTCACAATAATCGATGTACATACGGATGAAGTTCGCACAGTCTATAATAATAATAATCATTTAATCAAACATTTATTTTCCGTTTGTGAGAAATCTGTACCCTCCATAAGGGCCCCCAAATTTTTATACGGGGCCCCGCCAAGGCACACTACGCTACTGAGTCTTTCATTTCAGAATCTTTAGCGAAACTTATGGTATCCCTAACTAATCAAAAAAAAAGTCATTCCAATCCGATGTCTAATTTCCAAGAAATACGTGGACAAACATGTACAATGCACAAAATATAAAATGTAATTTGTATTTTATATCAAATTGATAACCTCTTTTTATTAAGTCGGTAAAAATAAAATTTAAAATTCCAGTTGAAGTACAATTTTTTTTTCTCATAACCAGCGCAACACTGCCGCTACTTAACACCTTACACTCGCGTTATTATGTCGCCCCTAATGTTGAGGTGACCTGTGTACGTGAAACGAGTGTGAATACACAGTAAACGAGTCAAATTAAAACATTTTTGTATCTCCAAGGTTTCAAAACCATTTTACATAGGAAAAAGTTTATTCAAAGTCAAAATATACTTTACTCTTTGGTCAGAACCAACGTCACGTCCATAGAGAAAAAAATATGGTCACGTACTAGTGGTACTAAACTAAGTCTGTGGTCACTTCCAAAAGCGAAACTGACTGCAATATTCTTTTTTGAGAATAAAATTTTAACACTTTGAGTTTAAAAGACGATGGGCCTGTGATTTATCCAAAAGTTGCTAATACATTGTAGGCAATATAATTATATCATTTATTTTTAAGAATACAATGAGCAACTTGAATATTAATGTGCCTGATCAAAATGATTCGAACGAAACTGTACTTCAAGAAAAACCTCGAAAAGGATGGGTTAAATTTGATGATGAAAGCCCGTCTGCACAATCTGGTATACCTTTAGAAGAATCCAGTTTGTCAACGAGTATTGCCTCTGATAACGTGGCTTCAACTTCAAGTAATCCTCCGCCGGCTGTATTAAAAACTGAATCGGTGCATGTTAATTTGGATCGCAGTGACAGGGTATCAGACCAAATCACACAGGCTACTTCCACAAGAAATGTTGAATTAGTCAACGTTCGTCATGGCTTTAGTAAGTTAATTACTATAGCAAGCAAATCAGACAAAATTCAAATCTAGCTCATATATTCTAAGTTGTGTTTTATATTCAGGTAATGGAGATATCATTGTAACTGTACTACCTGTAAATTCAAAGTGGCCATGGCTTACCCCAGCTAGATTCCGTCCAGAATTGGTTCCTGAAGAGTTAATGGCTCAAGGATTTACAGTAAGTTTAAAGCCCTGCTGATGAAATCTATTTTTGATTTCTAAACTTCTTTTTAAATAATTTATGTTATTTCAGTTGACTGTTGAAGAATATGTACATGCTATGGAGTTGCTCGTTAATGATGGCCGTTTCACTATGTACAATATTTGTTATAAAAGAGTACTAGTATGTTGGATAACTTTGGCTTTTCTAGTACTACTGGCACTTTTATTTTCTGGATTGACAGGCTTAATATTATTTTCTCTTGGTGTTTTGTGGTTAATTTTAAATGCAGCTGCCATATTTTTGTGTATGTGGGTAAAATTAAAACTTTCAAAAGGTTTAGAACAATGTTTGGCTAGTGTCAATAAGCTCCTTACCAAACATAAACTTATAATAACTTTAGATGACAGAGGCAAACTATCATGTCACAAAGTTAACCTCTGTTTCTTATATTTTGATTCTGGGCCATGCATAGCACATATTCAACAGTTTATTGATAGTGAAGAGGGTAGAACTATAATGGAAGGTTGGGAGCAGAGATTGGATGTAACAGCAAGTGACATTGTTATCCAAGGTGCACAATCAACAAGATTATCACGTAAACAGGTATGCTTTAAATAATAAAAAAGAGAAAAAATCTGCAAAAGCATCTGCTTTTTATGTTATTTTACATTTGTTGTACAAATTATTATTCTAAATTCTACTTTTTTTATTGGTTTGTATGAGTGATTGCACAGAAACATGCCCAAATTGAAATATTCCTTTTTTTTATTTTCAATCAAATAATGTTTGAAATACTTTCACACGTTGCCTACATAGCTATATTGGTGGTACACTATAAAGTTATTAAGAAAAAAGCTATATTGTTATTATTAATGCCATATCCTTAACATTCTCATGCTTTAATGTTCTCAATGTTTACCCAAAAATCCAGTGTGTTTTTAACCATACCAAATTATTAAAAATAACTTTTTTTTTTTAAATTGGGAATTGGGGGTGGAGAAATATTTTCACATTGGTCAAAGAAATTGGGCATGAATTGTACTTTGATTTGAAAGACTTCTGTGTATACTACTAGTCTTTACAAGCTTCTGAATTAGTATCAAAATCATGAAACAGTGCAAGCGTGAGTTGATGTATAGTTCTCACTCAAACATATTTATAGTAAAGAATAAGTGGAACTGCATGAATTACTGCTAGAAGCATATTAAACAACCACTATGTACTGTGTGTGTGCTTGTACAATTTTTTTATAGAAGTGAGGAAAAAATATAGTCAATCACTTTAATTACTGAAAATCATGAAACAAAATGCACAAATAAGTAAGGCCAATGTTGTATTGCTCACTTACATGTATGTATCTATCCTTCACTTGTGTGTGCACATCATCTTTGCAAGTAATTTGTCAGTACCACAGCTTGTTAATACATAGAAGTCTTTTTTTGTTTTTTGCATTTTTTGATTTGATTTAATGACGCCATTCAATGACGCCGTTTGCCTAGTTTTCTAGTTGAATCATTGACATTAAAAATGTTCAACAGAGCTTCTGAATAATAATATTCGTATTATTATATTTGATCAATTTTGCATTGACAATGCTACACTGGATTATTTATTATTATTGAAAAGTGAACACAGAGTAGTCGCCCAGATCGCCTATGGTTGTGGGGTTGAAGCCTATCTCGGAGTACCAGGTACAAAGTGGATTTTTAGCATTTTTCAATAAAAATAAATAATTTTATGTTTAAATATTTGATATCCCTGTGGTGGACAAAATACACACACCACTGGTGGTTTTGACTATTATGAATTAATTTGTTGTGAAAAAATATTTAAAGTATGTTCAATAGTATTGAAAAGTCTATATTGAACCTAAGAGTTTTTTTATTACAAATATATATATATTTTTTTTTTCATTAGACTTGGTTGTTATCATAATGGTTTATTAATGTTGTTTTGATTAGATATGATGACTGCAAACAAACCTTTAATTTAAAAAAATGTGAGAACAATTACGTCTGCCAGGCTTTAGAAAAATAAGGCTGTTCCTAGCATTTTATTTCATCCATTAGTTTAGTATTGTTACTAAAAAGAAGTACGAGCCGAGTGAGTGACATGCCTGTGGACTGAAAACGCGCGAGTTAAGACTTGGTTTATAAATTTTTGTTTTAATTTTGAAATTTTACAACAGTAAATATATGTAATAACATACTGTTGTAAAATTTACATTGAGTTTTAATATCGGAAAAATTAAGAACCAGTAATAATAATAATAATCCAGCTCTTCACATTAATTTACGGTTACCAATGGCGCTGTTAATTCAAAGAGCTAACCATGTAATGCAATTGCAAGCTGCGAGATACAGATAATTAAATATAACATGGTTTTATAGATGAATATAGTTAATATGGGATGCAATGCAGGTTATAATTATATGTCATATTCTTATTAAGGTGAAATTAACTTCAAGTTACTTCTTATATTACTAATCAATACATAACATTTTCATATTTACTCCTCATATGTATTATTATAACAACTTGATAAATACTTCATTAACACACACTTAATCATAAGTATTTATTACACAATAATACAAGAATGAGTAGTAGGGTTTTATGACCACATCTATTGTTAAGGCTTCAATTTTATTTTCGTTGAGATTTTATACTGAATTCTCAAATAATGAGCTATTGTTTCTGTAGCTAACTTAATTATTAAAGAAAAGTTTGAATTTGATGTCCATGCATGCTGCTACTTAATGTTGCATCACCCCTAAGAATGTTTAATGGTTTTTATATAGGTGCCTAAGTATTTATTTAATCAAAAAAATAAATATAATGTTCCTTGTGATATCCGATATAACTAGACCTCCCAAATGTATGCATGTAATGTACTTGGGTTTTTGCAAAAGTATAGACGCATTTTACGCTCTTTTAAAAAATCCTTAGATAATCGTTAGTACGGTAAATTTATTCACGATTATAATTTTGTCTCACAATTCTCAGTTCCGGGTCAGAATCACCTGAGAGGATGGCACTCAATCAATTTTGTTCAAAACTCATTTAATAAGTAATTGAAATGTTATTGGGTTACTTAACCAAGAGATTGAGAGAGGTAGTTGCCTAATCAGGCAGAAGTTACAATTTACAATCATTTATTGTTGCTTGGAACGGTTCTAAAACGGCAACTAATAGTAAATTGAGGTACAGACCGTTTCACAAAAGAGTTCCCTTGGCATAACGCTTATTTCTTTGTTCACAAAAGTGAAAACATTGTGATCCGAGGGACTTCTTTCGTGAAGTTAATTTTAGTTAAGCTAACAATGGCTAATTGCCAGAATAATTTAAACTTTGCTCAAAATCATTCATTCTGGGGCCTGGTGCACTTGGTTTCAACTTTGCAACGTCAAAATCTACTATTTAACATTTTAGAGACGGTCCGGTATATGTAGAGACATGGTGTGATGTGACGTCAGTGATGTTGAATTTACTTTGCTCTACGCGATTTTCAGCCTCAAGTGATGCAATTAAAATGTGATCCAACTTTCCAAATCGACGCACGTTGAAAATCTTTTGACAAATTAAATCCCAAGTGACGTTTACCGAGCTGAATTACAATGCTTTAATAAAGATAGGTAAACCAGGTTAATTAATATGAAAATCGCGTAGGTATTAGTCATTTAAGAAGCATATGAATGTACAGGGTATGGCTGAGCAAGTGTACCTTCGGTACCTGCAGCGATGGGGCAAAGATTACTTGCGACGTCGACTCGACTGGACGCTAGATGAAGACGGTGGTAATCCTGCGGCCCCACGCCACTTGACCCCGGCGCTCTGCCCTTGTCAATACATTGAGGAAGTATTGCGGAACAAAGAACCTAAAGATAACCGCGCATGTTGTCCGCTCTGCAACCACTGGCTCAGGCGCCGTGGCCTGGATTGATTGTATTTGACGTTTGGCAAGTCACTAATTTAAGTTTTAATTATAGTTGTTTACTATTAGTGATCACATCAAATCAGATCGACCACCAGCAAGAGTAACACAGCGTATTAGGTATTTATTTTGTTACCCCCAACCGAACACCCAAATATTGTCGTATGTAACGACATAACAGCAGCTGTGCACTGATGTAATTGGATTAGTTTATTCATCGAGATTTATTTTTCTCAGGAACGTGCTGCACTTCTCTATTTACGTTACGTCGGTAGATGGGGAGCGCGTGCTGTAAAAAATAAATTGAATCTCGGCAGTATGGTTCCAGGTAGACACGGTGAAAAGTATGTCTGTCCGTGCCAATTTATAGAGGAGCATCTTCAAACAAAGCCACCAGCAGGTATAGCTAAATATTTTCAAACGTCCAATCAAATTCTTCAATGGTCAGTTTAATAACACAACATCAGTTAGGTTAACAAATGTTGTAAAAAGAATAATTTCATGTAAATGAAACTCTATGCTAAGTGTTATTATTAATCTTAATATTAGTCAAATAAGTATTATGAATTTTTATTCCGTCCCTTATACCCATCAGTATCAAGAATATATTTACTTATAACTTTTTTATATATTTTACTTTTTGTAAGTGCCTACATTTAAGTCGAAAATGATAAACTTATATTAACTGTATTGCACATTCCTTATCTAGATATTTTCTTGTTTCGTGAATTTCTACTATTTTTTACATTGCACGGTCCGCGTGTTATAAATATTGCTACATTTACAAAGCTATTACATGTCCTCGTGTAAAATGATATTAGCTTATGGGCATTGTAGGAAACTGAATCCGCAGCTATTCTGCCATATATTTCATATTTAATAGGTATATGATAATTTTACCATTTAGTGCATTCCATTGACTATTTATCGTTTGCTCATAAATCCTCGACCTAAGTGAGGTGATAATGGACGGGCCTTACGACACAGTACTTTTAACCCTTATTTGTTCACTATTTCTAACACAAAATTATTGTGTTGATCTTCATTCACATTGAGTCCATTTTGTCGGCGCATGAATGAAACGGTAATTATCACTACAGCTAGAATAATAATAAAATAAAAAGCACCACAGTTTATATCGTATTTACACATTGAAGTAGACATTATATAATTTGTCCTTTTGAAGGTTTCTAACATCACCTATAACTCAGATTGTATATCTAATCGAGTAGGTTATTGACCTCCCTTGGCTTCTGTATTCCTCTACTTTAGTGTTACGTAGGTCTATCGTCTGTTCATCACATATCAGATTCAACAAAGTATAATGTACCTCTGTTAACTATAACACCGATTCTGTCGTGTCACTTTCTCTTCATTACGGATGCAATAATTCTCAAATTTTACATAAATTATTGCATTTATTTGAGTTGCATGTTGCAATTTGCTAACTTTCGTTTCCGTATATTATTAGCGTTAGAGTCTGTTCCGCTATATGCATGAATATAGTTGAGGTGGGCGTTTTTAGGTTTAAGTATTTACTACCTACTTACACTATGCTAAATAAACATTCTCTATACGTAAGGCCCGTCCATATTACTAGATTAGGTCGATGTTATAAATAAATGAAAAGACTTGTTATACAAATAAAAAAGGAAACATGTGTATGTACCAAGATAATAATATTAAATATTTTAATATGTAAATTATACATTATGACGCGACAAATAGAAATTTTTACTCCTACTTGACTAATAAAAACTTCTACATACCTGAAACATTTAATACTTCCAGTAGGAAATATGCCATGATGGCACTTTTTATGGTTTTTCTATCGGAAGTTGTTATTGTTATCATATCCCTGCGACATATTTTAAACCCTATATATGTATTGTAAATTCGTAAGTGGCCATAATGTGTAATACTGAGTATACACAATCCAGGAGTTTGCTGATTTGTTAGTTTATATGTGATTATCGCTATAGCACTCGATTCTATACGATGAGTAGAAATGTTTTCAGTCATCGTGAACCATTCAAAAGATTTCTTATTCCAAATAAAAAAAAATCCTTGATTGATTTTACATTGCGTGTGAGCGTTGGTCATTGATTACACGTTAATTTTATTATGACTTTTGGTGGGACCATAACTTAGTTTCGAGTGTAATGAATGGTATATCAATCAAATTTACTTATTTTTTTAAACACCTATGGAATTTTGTGAGAAATTATAAATCACAAAGCAATAGATTTAGTTCCACAAAATATTTATCATGATGAATAATAGAAAAAGTAAATGTATCATTATAATAATTTAAACAACAAGAATAAACCGCGCATACAGTTTTTCGTAACAAACTTTGAAGTGGAAGATCCTTAGCCGATTTGACACTGGTCTAATCCACCCTTTATTTAGTTTAATTTTTTAAACAATACACATGTAGTATCAATCAAATTTACTCAAGCAATTGCAGTTTTGCATTTGCAGCTATATCTATACAGTTGTGTTTGAACGCAGCCCGGTTTCAGCCCAAGGTCGAGGACTGACGTCTAGTCACAGTACGGTCAGAACCTTATTTAAAAAAAGAATATTTTAATGAAGTACTTAATTAGTTTATGATGTTATAATAATTCAAATAGCGTCGGAGGTAGACTTTTAAAACAATATCGGACGACTAGAGTCACGCCAATTGTATGCTTCAGTTGACCCTTATAAGAATTGTGCGGGTGGAATTTGTCTTGCTTTAAAACTGTGTTCCCGGCTTATTCATGTTGTTATATTACTCAATTATTATTGTTATTAAGAGAGAGCATGTCTCGTTGTCGAAGAGCTATTGCAGAATCTTTCTCACCATTGCAAGTATAAGTCGTAAAACAATAGTATCAAAAATATATATATATGTGTACTTATTAATAGCCGAGCAATACGTGATTTCTCTTTAAAATTTTCGTTGCTGTTGGATTACTTGTTTTTAAAGCTTCCTACTTTATTCAATATCTGCAATAGATCCACACGTGCCTTGCAGCTCTCTTAATTAACACCGAAAAAGATTTTCACAATTTATATTTAATATATTAGCTAGTCAATTGTTTATGTCCGAGTGTATGTGCTTACATCATTTTATTTGTTTTAAATAATAATGTGGGAATATACTTTTTAAAGAGAAACCAAAGCTCAAAAATTTACATTAAGTTTTACTTACAGAAATAATAACATAAGTACGTATGTTACAAGTACAACTTATATAATCATTATGTTTGTTATATGAATAAATTCTATATTTTCATGAACAGACATTCTTAATATTTTACAATTATTATGTAAACAATTATTTATTTTAAATTAAGTATAAATATAATTGTATGTTGTGACTAGATTACGAACAATCCGTCCTATAAAAATCAAGGTAGGTACTTATTATATTAACAACTAAATTTAATATATTTTTGTATTGAATTAACATTAGATTAAATTTATTTTATGATACCTTTGTTGGAAATACATATCTTCATATTATTTTAAGTAGTTTTATTGAAGTAAAATTTGCGTTTCACGTGATTTGTAATATTTATTTTCCTTGATCCATTTTTGCTATTATTGTAATTCATAAGGTCAATGTTTTTATCGGTAACGTCAATGTATAGGTGTCGCAGCCAACTGGTTAAAATAGCCGTACAATTGGGCGGCTAGTCATTTAATTGAATGGCCATTCGATTGCACCAGCGGCGGACTAAAGGGGGCGAACCGCCCCTAGCCTCCGGTCCTAGGGGACCTCCAAATGGCTGCAGCGCCGTCAAACCATAATAATATAATAAAGTTAAAAAGTATGCACTTGGGGGTTGTAAACCGAATACCAAGTTTCTATCCCGGTTGGAAAAACTTGTCGGTGCGGGCCTATTGCACGCCTAGTTTTCTAGTTGAATCATTAGGACATTTTAACCGTCGAGTACGAGAACATTATCAGTAATTTTTTTCGAATGTCACAGATATTTTCAGCTATTGTATGTGAATAATGCTGTTCCTAAATTAGTAAGAGTATAAGTTTGTCTCGTGATCATGAAATCTGTTATAGCATCGAAATCATTTTTATTACCAACTAGCGGACCCGGACTTCGTCCTGTCAAAAAGATTTGTAATGTGGCAGTTATTTGTTCCTACTTATTTTATAGTCGGGGCAAAAAATAGGAGGCATATCAAATATAAATTATTGTGTCACATGCAATATTATTATTATAATAAATAGTGATCATAGGTAACTAAACACTGCACAAAACACGATATACGAATTTGTTTCGTGTATTAGACAGTATCAGTTGACAAAAGCAAACTCAGTAGAATAAGTAACAGAAAATCCAAGAAAATAATACTTCCACACCGGCAAATTGACATCGACAGTTTATTTTTCTTAGTTTTTTTTTAAACTAACTAAACATCGACAGTTTGTTGTTGTTTCAATTTTCAACTTTTTTTAAATTTGATATGACTTGGAATCAAATCCTTCAGGCCGTACCAATTTTTTATGTGTGTAAAATAATAAATAATAAAACACTTGGTAACGCGGTTTGTGTTTGACTGATGTCATGACGTGAAAACTGATGCATTTTATGTCGCGTGCTGAAAGTAAAACAAAAGAAATAATATCGCAAAGCCGACCAAATTGAAAATCAGTACTAATGATTTACTTTAATTGAGTTTCGGAACGCGGCATTAAATCCTCCAACGATGTATTCTGTGCTCCAACGCACACACGCACACTGTATTGATATGATTGAATTTCAACTTTGTATAGCGGTAATAAAGTGCAAATTGACTCTTTGACGTTAGGAACACACCTACATTGCTTAGATAACAGTGAGTGCTTGTAATTTAATATGAACTTTATACAATAGTAATAGAGCTCAAATTGACTCAACGTTTTAGTTAGAAAACGTTTGTATGAGAAAAAGAAAATGGCTGTTTTTACGGTTTTTTCGGCATATATTCAAATTTTTCTCGCCGTAAAAACCATCCTTGAACTTCAACGAACATTTAAAAAAAAGAATTGGCCAAATTGGTCCAGGCGTTGTTGAGTTATGCGCTTACCAACACATTTTGCGATTCATTTTTATATTATAAGATTTAATTAAAATAACCTATAAACCCAACTAATAAATGAATTGAGAGTTAACTACTTTTTTAATATTTTTTCTGTCTTCGCTCGTAGTATAATAAATTCATATGTAGGTAATGACCTTGATAGTAGCAAGGCAATGAAAAACGTGTTTACGTTTGTGCACTGCTGTGTCCGTAATCCAGTAGCGCTACCATGAGTTGCTATCGTAAATTCTCATTACTTTACCGCAGTCGATAGCGAACAAACGCACTTCGAATAGTATTTGATAGAAGTTGTACCATGAGTCACATTTACATTTACTATACTCGCTAACGTTAACTCGAACATTCGAATAGTTTTTGTTACGTGACCGTGTATTGTGCCTAACTTCACTCCAAATGAAACTGTCTCGTTCTATTTATGCTGAATAGAGTGAGAAAGGATAACTTTGGGCAAAAAAACTGGCTATTTAGATCTTCAAATTTAAATGTAGATAAAACCCTACTAATTTTAAGCGTCATTGATCAATCTCATAACGCGAAGTGTAACTGATTATTGAATTTATTCGGTTATTTCCGTGTTGAGACAAATCATTGAGTATTTCTGTTTTTTAACTGGCGGTTGTTTTGGTAAATTGTGTATAATACCTAAACATTAAATGCGGACTAGTGTATCACAAATACAGTTATTGATTGAGTATATGGAAAGGAATGAACTTCAATACGTTTCTATTATATTATTTAATACGTAGGATATACTTTGTACAGTAAAATGTAGTCCTCCAGTTTTTTAGATGAAATATTTGTTTAAGTGTTCAGATAAAGTTAAGGAATGCTGAGTGCTCTTTATTTGGTTAAGGTAAATTTAACGCGGGATATAATACATTGTTTTTTGTTATTTATCAAACATAAAACTTTTAAAATAGACGCAGTTTATGAATTTTTTTAAATATAGTAAAAATATACAACCTAATCCAATGCTATCAGATCTAACCTGGTTACATTCATTTATTTATTTTCGTTG